TCTTTTATCACAGAGACCAGATATTTGGTCAATGTTCCCTTTTCCTCTTTAGAAGACCTTCTAGGGTGCTCTGAGGCTGAGGTCTGCACATGACAAACACTAGGATCCAGAAGAGAGATTACATAATGATTCACTACACTCCACCTGCAGATACACTCGCAAAGGGCCGATCAGTGCTCCTGGAGTGCCACGTGTGAGACACTACTGAAGCACTGGGATACCATCAGGAGCGATGGTGAGGCATGTTCACGTGAGGGTCACATTTCAGCCCAAAAAGACCCAACTTTTCAAATTGATTAGCAGACATTTGAATTCCAGCCAACCTTCAACTATAAAATCTCTATTAAATAAATTGGGTAGGACAACAGCCCTCCCCTGGGCCTCGAACCAACAAACCCTGGTTTATGAGTCCATGTCCATCATCACTATAGTGCCCACGGGTGCGCCTGCATGTTCACTGCTCCTTATCGCTTTCCTCTCTGACCATGCCAGACTTCTTTATGACCTGTTTATATGGTGTCTCAGGAGCCGGGAAAATCTGTTAGAAGATGAAAACCAGGAACAAGGAGGTAAGGGCAGTCCAATTAACCCCATTGTGGCTTAATCACGCTGTTTTATTCTTCGGGGCATTAGACTGGAATCAGAAAAGTGAGGAATTAAACTCAGGGGTCCCCCCAAAGTCAAACATAACTACCAGTCTAATCATTGTTTGGGGCCATTGCAAGGCAACAGCTCGTTTTCTCTTAATTTCTCCCCATGATCTCATTGGGGTCCGGTCCCAAGGGTGTGAGATCATCCGGTGTGAGTCCACAGAGATCGGTGTGTGACTGCCGTGCTCTTTCATGTCAACGGAAGAGGTTAACTCACCTGCCGGTACACTTTCGCAACATGGCCACTGGCTACGCCTCACGATATGAAAGGACGGCTGGCCAGTCTCCCACTCCTGGCACCACAATTTCAGGCAAAATGCCAAGGGAGCGCTTGTGATTGGAGGAATGAAGATAGCCGGCATGCCCCAGAGAGATGGGGTAAGGGACGGGGAGGCCTGCCCAGCGTGGCCTGAACTCCCACAAGTCCATGCAGGAAGGAAAATTCAGTCCAGGAGCAATGTATGTTGAATTGGGGCCAACAAAAAAGTTTCCCAGACAACGCGTCGCATTGCTGAAACACTGCCATGACATTATGGTGTTGGATGCTGCATGTCCCACAGAAACCAGAGCCTGAATGCCATCGGGGTCTGAGGATGCCGTTTCTGTTAGCCGCCGAAGGCTGTGCCCAGAGCCCTTTATGGTGGGCAGAAAAGGCCTTTTTCACCCAGTAAGCAAACTGGTCATCCCAGGCTCCCAGCAAGTGACGTTTGTGAAAGCGAGTCTTTGCTGTTACTTTAGCGGAATTGACACAAGGGGCCTGCAAGACACCAGCGGGGTGAAATTGATGATGGACGTCTGCTGTTCTCCAAATGCACATGAGGCATCTTTACTGTACCCTGCGTTCGTCACAGTGGCCGGCTGTCACTAATGCTAAATGTGCATTCGGAACTAAAATGTTTAATGCCTCAGGTCAGGTGACACTCAGCCCTCCTTACAGTCTAGCAGAGGGGTTTTTGGCCAGTCAATGCTGCAGCCTGCACTGTGGAGAAGCCCCAAACTCAGTCAAGGCCCTTGGTGTTAAGACGTTTGGGCCTTGCCCTGAATCAGCACACAGAAATGGTGCTGGTCATGTGACAGCCACAGAACTTCCTTCCAACCTGTGCACTGTGAGTAAACACCACGGTGCACTATGGCCGGTGGACTAGCCCCATGCCCTCCACCTGCACGGAGATACAGCCAGGCTTCTTTGTAAGGCAAATCACAAACAAAACCATCAATCTCCTGTGCAATGCACCACACCATCAGTTCTAGCATGTTTATGTGCTCGTTAGTGTTTCTGTGCTTAGGTCATAGTTTTCAAAAAATATTTTTTTATGTAAATATGCATGGCTTTTTGGGAAAGGACCAGTGGGTTGCTGGTTCAGTTCCCAAGGCAGACAGAGTGATTTAATGGTTGGCTCCTGAGGGAGGCCCTTAACCCCCGATTGCTCTGGGGACCGGCCGACCCTGCTTTCTGCTAAATAAATTAGATGTAAGTCTCAAAGAAGGATGAACTTAGGTGCTCACACCTGACTGTCAAGAGAGGCTCATCAGTCAACACACCAAATGGTAAAACTATGGTAAACAGTTTGCCAGTCAGAAGAGAGACTCCAGCATGCAGCACAGAGCTGTCACCTCTGAGCCCCTACCCTGGCCCTTCTACACAGATGTAAACATTTTAACAGACATCCCAGCCCTGCCAGAAGCTGCTTATGTTTTTTTTCTTTATTTTTGTAATACTTTTTTTTAAGAAATTAATGAGCTTGCAAGACTTACATTAAAACATGGCATTACATTTGTAGTAAAAGTATCTATATGCACATATAACTGCACATATATTTAATTTATAAATAGATACTACTTATTTTTTTTTTTTTCCTCCTTATTTGCAATACTCTGTTTATGTGTTGAGTACTTTATAAAATTTGTTTCTGATATATGTACTGTCTTTGCACTATTTTTTTCAGCACTTTGCCTGTCTTGCTGTTCTGCGAATCACATCCTCTCCCCCGGATCAATAAAGTTCATCTTAACGTGTCCTCAGGTCTTAATGAATTAGAAGAGCCTCATATATCTACGAAAGGAACTATAGTATGTTTCAGAGCGTTTGCAAGGTCCAGGTTCCACAGTTCATGCATGTTTTGCTAGTTCCATCATACAGGCACAGAGACACACAGAGAGCAGGCACTTCTGCCAGGGGTATCACTCAGCCATGCCCAACACAGCTCCCGAGCTCCATTCCTGCACCATTCTGCCGTCCTTATTTATGAAAGGAAGAGAAAAAGAAAACATCCCAGAGGCTGGGCAATGCAAACCAGGCACGCATGTGAACTCTACAATAACATCCTGGAGCGTGTGTTTTTAGTCAGCAAGTGTGCAGCACCAGCATCCAGAGGGTGCTGCTGGAGCTGGGCATGGCAGCCGACTTGGAAGGCGTCGTGCGGAAGGCCTGAGGTCTGACTCACTTTTTCCCATCTCAGGATAAACGTCTGAGTCTCACACACAGAGTCTCGCTCACACTCACCAAGTCACACATGCAAAGATGCAACATTGTCCGACTCCACGTTCCATCCCAGTCAGGAGGCCAAGATGACCCCCAAAAGGGTTCTGAACATTGACTATCATGGATGGCCATAACGCGTCGTGAACACTCATTAAATTGCTGTTGACCATAAATACCCAGCATGCAATGTTGGGTTGCAATTCCCACCAAATCTAGTCACTTTCTGATTCGGCATCCACAACAAAACGGCACCCTTCCAGGAATATAACGGCTGCACTGCACTATATCAAGACCGAATGGTTTCGCTTTTTGCAATGCTGATGTAAAGACCGTACCGCTATGAGTCACCACCCTCCCTACAGCTAGCAGTGGCATGCCCCCCCCCAAAAAAAAGCCATTTCAATAGGGGATTCATGCTCCATGATGAACCTTCATGAGTCCCATTCCAGACAAGGCCCAAGAGATGCCTTTTGCTGAGTGAAAGGCATCCTAGATGTACAGCCCTCACCCTGATCACTCACTAAGAGGTGCACCTAAAGCAACTGACATTAAAGGGGTGCAGTGGCGTTGAAACGTTTTGAAACCACCTTTATAGAGGCAGGGCCTCACATTTCGCAGACACAAGGACGTAATTGTCTGCTCCTATCAGTCATGGGGGCTAAAGGATACATGACTGCCTGGAAAACAACGATCGGTACAGTGTAAACTCTACTGTATAGAACTCTTTGTTTGCCTTCCTCTGGTGTGTGTGTGGGAGAAACTATGTCAACCGAAGGATTCAAAATCATCCACATCATGGAATCACCTACATGAAACAGGCAGAGATACAGTATAAAATGGCAAAATCCATGCGTTGTCCATGCCTTGCCACATTTAGCGTGGCAAAATAAGTTTTTGACTTTTTTTTTTTTGAAAGTCAAAGACTGACACCATGTGGACGAAAGGTGTATTACCAGATGAGGAGGTCGGCAATACGTTCTACTGAGAGGACTCTGTAGGTATATGATTTTCATTGGTGGCACTGAGTTCTTTATACGTGATCCTGGGCACAGCTGCCACCTACATCTACATATATATATATGTGCGTGTGTGTGTGTGTGTGTACACATTGCATTTTTGGTATGATGACAGTTGAGCAGGGATACAGAAGAAGCCTCAACACAAACACTCATCACACACACCACACACAATTAAAATAGAATAGAACTTGTATATATTTAGCATATAAATGTTTGAACAGAAAGGTGGCTTCACTACACCGATATGCAAATTCTGCACATCTTCAGCGTGAGCGTCTCCTTTTCTAAAGGACAAAGGCTATTCCATGTTACACAGATGATGCTGGGAGAGTTATGTGAAAAGGACACATACAGCTTCATAATTATCCACATATTAATATCAAGACCATTCGTGGTGTTACTCATTTTATGGATATGTACGTGGTGTCATAAGTTTTTGGGCTTCTATAATGGCCAGTCACTTGATGGTTACCTAAGTCCCAACCAGTTCCATTCTTCTGGTCTTCCAAGTCCAGTCCAGGAGCACATGTGCTGCCCTTGTATGAGATACCGTCACAGGCAGCTAAAAAAGGCTTCCAGCCTGTCAGTAGCCAACTGGACCAAGATAAGAGGTCGGAAGATGGATGACCACCCCAGTGTGGCCAGGTACATACACAGTCCAGTATAGGCAATTTTGACATGGCAATTCAGCTCTTAGGTGAATCGGCATGGGCGGGATCCATGTGACATAAGGAGAACACGGGCCTTATATGGAATCCTACAGTGCTACCCAATCAGAAATATATATAATAATAATAAAGATGGGTGAGAGAGACATTGGGGCAGGGACACAGATAACAAAAAGTCACATTGTAAGCAGCAGTGTTTTAATATAACTGATTTGTATTGCTTTTTAATGTGTGTTTTTTTTTTCCGAAACAGTAAAGCCATACATTGTAAAGCAAATGAAAATACACAAAAGATCTGTACAGCCATTGTAGCACATTCACACAGTCTAAGTCAGCTATTTTTAAACAGGCAGATATCGGGGCAAACCTTACACTATGTTCCTGTAAACTCAAACATGGGCTCTTGTCTCTAGTATCCCATGAATTTTAATTACAAAATTACCTTTTTTCTTTTCTTTTTTATTGAGCAACATACATGATCACTCGATCAGTTAAGCTTGAAATGTTAAGGGCACTATGTTTTTTTTTTTTTTTTTTAATGGAAATAATTAGCTTGATAGACCAAGAAATCGGAAACATGTCTTGCTGTAAGCTGTGTGGACTACTCTCAGTGGTCAGAATGCTTACTCTTCTATTACACAGCCTCTAGTGCTATGTAAAGCACATAGTAACTACAAAGCTAAAGCATGCTAACGTCATTTTCTTGCCTTACTCTATGTAGTCAGACAATGTTTTTTGGCACAGTGTGACTCTGTTTGCATTTTGCTAATCACGTTTGGCTAATGCAGCTTCTGAGAAGTGCTTTTCGTCATCTTAATGGGGTAAAATTGGCCTAATAAATACCCACTGAAGAGACACACAGCAAACGTAATTAAAGGTATGTGATACGGCATTAATATGGGCTCCGATAACGATTACTTTCCCTTAAGAACAAGAATCTTCCCTTGAAAGAAAATGTTGAAAAGAAAATTAGTTTGACATTAAAACGAATAATACAAATATATACTTAAAATCTTTGGCAAAAAAAAAGTATTTACATGTGGGTCCAATTCTGACAGTTGTGACAGACACAAAATTTGGTTACCATCCTTTGTACTCAATCGAATCTCTGAATGATCCCAACTTTCAGTGACTTGGGTAAAAATACAACACAGTGACAGTGTATTTTCTTTCAGACAATACACTTTCAATAAGTCCTAATAATAATCACTGTACAAATGGCATCTATTAAGTCCAACCTATTATGTAGTGTAAGGGGACATTATACCATGTAGCCACACTGTACTATTACCAAAGGGGCTTCAAAAATGGTTCATTTGTAAAATAACAGTTAAAACACTGCAGTACTTGTCTGGCAATCTGTTTACAGGGTTCCGTTTATTTTATGCACTGTGTTCCCATCCGTAGGGAACACCAGAACCTAAATGGCTTCCTTGGAAAAAAAAGTATTACTTCACTGCAACACAAGGTGGCAGTAGAGTGACATGATTGCTTCACTTCGCCGTCGCGTCATTTTGAACGACATAGTATTTACCAGTTAAGTTTTGAATAAAACAAGAATCCGAAGACCATATACAGATTGTTAAAAAATGTCATACTTTCTCCAATGTATACTGTGTTTATATTACCACATTTAAGTGCTTAAATAAACCCCCAATGCTGCAATCCTTACTGACAGCACAGAAGAAAAAAAAACAACAATCCGACGTCAGGATGTTAATTTGAACTGTTCATTAAGTCACAAAGCGTATTCGGTCATCCTTATACCTGGGGAATAGTTTTATTCTATGACCCTAAGGGCCGACCTTATTCTACGAGAACATAATGCGAGCAAATTGTGGTAAAATGAGTAAAAAGAGTGAAAAGCTGGAACGTAGATACACTTTACACCTTACTGTATATATTTAAATGCTTTTCAAAATCCCCTGACTTTGAGATCTTAGCCAAAATAAAGAGTATTTTTTTCAATGCATTAGGTAAACTTTATGTAGACTATACAATATATGTTTATATGAGTTAACATAGCAACATAGCAAAAAATAAATACTTTTTTTTTCTTTTTGTAGTTTATATATAGTTTTTTTTGTTTTGATTAGCTTACTTTTTCAGTATAATGTCTGTGTGTGCGTGTGTGTGTGTTTAAGGTAAGGCCTTCAGGCATGTAACAAACTCTTCTTTCTAAAGATGTCACCGCTACAGGTATACTGGTAGTGAGAGCAGAGTTAGCCCCGCCTACGCGAATGGAACACTCAGTGAAAACAGGCAACGGCCACACAGCTCTGGTTCTGAAGGTTGCTTAAAGTGAAACACTAGTCTAGGTGAAGAAAGAGTTACAAGGGTGGAGTTGCTACTTCAAGGACTGATGACGTCTACGTCGCCTAATCAGAACCATCTGGCTGAAATGCAAGACTTTTGTTAATCCATGCAGTTACTCTTCGGGCTGTCCGATGGAAGAGATGCCTTTACTCCATGGCTAAAGCTATGAGGCTAGAAGCAGACGAGGGAGATGAGTACATCACGCGAAACATAGGCAGCAAGCTTACATTTTGTTCTACAACATGCAGGACAGTGCAATTTCCCAGCAGGCCCTGGGCTCCTCCAGTGTGATCAGATAAGCGTGGACGGCTGTAAGCTGGAGCAGATCAGCGTGCAGAGCCAGAAGAAACTGTGTTTCTCATCGGTTTCCTGTCATATGGGGAGCCACCCCCTCCTCCAAGAAGCAGAGTGAAGCTTAGCACACGAACCGCAGACAACTGCAGTACATTCAGGAGTCCTGCGTCCACAGACGAGAGCAATCAGTCCAAAATCACTTCTGAAATCTATGTGCTCAGGGATTGACTAATCAAGCCTGAATATGGCATTTTTGAATGATCACCAACGAAATGGCAAAGCTTGGACCACAGTGCATGTAACTATTACAGATTTGGTCTATTATATGTAGGACAAAAAAATCTGTACAATACAGCCCTTTGCAACCCACAGCAGACCCCAGATATGACCGTATAGTACATACATTTAATCCACTTGCCAGGCTAACATGCGAAATGTATTGGATTACTCTTTGCAAGAAAGCATGGCTGCAAATTTTATGACAGATAAAAAAAAGACATTAATACTTAAATAAAAAGCATACTTTCATCTTTGTCTGTTTCAACATTCCTATTTTACAAAATGTCTTATTTCAACAGAACCATCTGATTATTGCATACATTTCCTGATGCTTTCTCGTCTTTGGTTAATCAATCCGAAAGCCCAGTAGATTTCAGTCTCGTGTTCCTTGCACCACCTGGCCTCTTCTTTTTGCCCTTTTCACACGAAGTTCACTCACATCAGTATCCCCTCCTTGAGAGCATCTCACCCTCCCCCCTCCCACTACCATACCAACGCTACGCCCCCCCACTGCACCTGCTCTGTCTCCATCTCGGATCGGCTCCAATTCCTTCAACCCACCCTCCCCCTCCAAAAAAATACAAAGAAACAATACAACAGAAGAAATGTTACATTGAGAAATAAATGGGAAAATGACAGAATCTCCAAAACAAATTCAAACTGCAGCTGGGAAGGTGGGGGAGGGGATTCACCGCTTCTGTGAGCCAAGCATCACCTTGGAGACAAAGTTGACGATGGCGGTAGCAGGCTGGTCGGGGTCCATCTCGGCAAAAAGGTGACTGACGTTGTCCGTTGTGCTTCCTTGCTTGCGGGCCACAAATCCGAAAAACCTGAAGAGAAGGTGAGAGATGAATGACAGGGTTAATGTCAACACCTTACTCACGTCGCATGAGAGTTATAGAGATTTTTTTTTTTATGTAGCTGACCAAAAGCAACATACATGATTTTGTTTGGAGACACTGGGACTTGACCCGGCAACCTTCTGACCACGGCGTCCTTATCCGTGGAGCCATATTTGGCTACGTTACGTGTGGCAAGTGTTTAAACCGTGCTGCGACTTGATCTATAACAAATGCGTGAGGCTCAAAAATGCTGTAACCACCCCACCCCCCTTTGCGTGAGATAATTACAAAGGAGATGTTTCGTTCGCAGTTATGGGCGCAGAAGAAACAGCCATTAAACCCCCCTCTGCGGCATTTTATATGACCGCATTAAGTGGTGCCCCTGTTGTCTTAACAAGTCCCACGTGGATAAACCAGGAACGGAATATAAGCACAGCTTCGGGGTCTATATCGGTCGAGACTGAGAAACAGCTGTGTCCTTAAACACTGCTGATCGCTGGCAGGGCTATATTTACGGGTGTCAGGCCTGCTCTCCGGACTGTGAGCCTCACCATTTTGAACACGGCACTCCAGCCCCAGCGGGCCCGTGTAACTGCGCTAATACAACATTCCTTAAATGCTGCGTAAACATCATGCACGGCAGCACAGGGGCGACACTGGGACTGGAACAAAGAGGCCTCTCGCATGACAGCGGAATGAGATGTACCGGGAGATACGCGCCGGTCCCCAAACGACGCCGCCACAAACACGCAAGCGGAATTAGCGAAGCGCCCCCGTTGCAGAATGCTAGGTCGGTGACCCCGCTAACAACTGTGTCAGGATCAGTGCTGACACCGGGGGGCGCTGTTAGGCACGCAGTCCTGGAGGTTCCCGTGAGGACCTCGTGAGGGAGCCCTCACGCGCTGACCATGTTTATGGAAGAATGGAGAATGTAGAGCATAAGAAAGGGGAAATGGAAAAGAAAGGGAGGAATAAACAACAAGAAAAGAACTTACTTTGCTGAGCCACCTTCTGCTTTGTTCCACCTGTAACAGAGGTTACACATTACAACCTTGTTTTATCATCCATCCATCCATCCATCCATCCAACCATCCTGCAACTCCCTATACTATATAAGAATTTTGGAGCCAAAATCAGGCAGCACAAGGATGGGGTACACCCTGTAAGGTACACACACACACACACGGCCAATTTCAAGACTCCACTTAGGCTAACATGACATGTTTGCACTGTGGGATAAACTCACAGCACAGAGTGAACATGCTAACTCCACACAGACAGAGTAAAGGTGGGATTTGACCCTGGGGGTGTGAGGCAACATAGTTACTCACTCTGACACCCCCTGACTCTACAACGAATTTGCGTAAAAAAATATAAAACAATAATAAATACCGCAGTCAGTGTTTTCACATATTTACTTACTTCCTGTCCTGGGGGTCAACATCACAGAAGGTGACGGTGTTGATAGGATAATGGCGTCGGAAGAACAGCCTGGGGGATGGAGAGGACTGAGTCAGTACCGCAGGGACAGTGAGGAGGATCCCAAGTCAGAACTATTCCTGATTTCCTCAAGTATGAGAGAAGAAGCAGGAAAACTCACAATGTTCATAACACCATAACATGCTCACAAATTTAAGAAATATGCACATTACAGTGTTCAACCAATCAGGCCGATTCGGACAAACCACTGATAAAAATATCACAATGTGTGTGGACCATGGAAACCAGTCCTCTGATAACCCTCTCTTCTTCATTTCATCTGCTACACTTCTTCTGTTAAACTACAGTACATGATGGATTCGGTAAATATAGCTCCTTCATGAGCGATGCAATTTGCTACATTGTCAATGGAATCCAAGGTTTCTCCGCTCGGAACCCATAACTGTGGTGAGACTATAGTGGAGCAGAGGACACTCAGGAAACCGCTGGCTGTGCTGGACAATGACTCGCCTGCTCTGCAGTTCATCTTGGCCAAACAGAGGAGCAATGAGTCACCCTACAGCAGGGGGGACAACCAACTGCCTGCATGGACCGGAACTGCTTAGGGACATTTGCAGAATATTCATGTGCAGCACACCTAACTGTCTGTCTGTCCGTCCGTCCAACCGACCGACCGACCGAACGACCGACCGACTGACCGACCGATCGGGATCTGCAGGCCTGAACTCCGGCATCCACACTCACTTCCTCTGGTTATCCGTGAGGGTTATGCCCTGCGCTGACACCTTGAAGTGGACGATGGTGGCCGTGGGCAGAGGGTTGGACGCCAAGGTCTCGGATATGGCTTTGGCCACAGCTTGGGGGCCGGTCAGGGACTCCATATCCACAGAGTTGATGTAGAGAACATTGCAGGCTGGGAAGAAAGAGAGAGGTTGCAGGTTACCGGTGGGAGCTCCCAGCAAAAGCTGCCATTGCTATTGGGTGGGAGGTCCTGAACCGCAGCCCGTTAGGACATCATGCGCAATTCTGGGTTTCCTTGCATGTGCTCTACCAGCTGAGATTCTCCATCCAAGGTAAACCAGTCAGAGAAGATGATTCCAGACAGGCAACTATGACTCACAACTACTGCAAAGCATTACATTCTGTGGTACACAGACCAGAATGCCAGCAGTGATGTCATGATTTCCCTTTTGGGGGACGGAAGATATTCCAGGTTACATGTGTTACTTAGTTTGCAGCAGGGTTGGGGTCATTCTGGAATGCATTCATCAAATCCAATCCAGATCAGGAAATGGAACTGGAGTTGGCTTTGGAAGAAAACTATGGGGAACAGAATTGGAATTGAATTTGAATTTCAGGGAGATTTAAATTCCAACTCCAGTTCCTTTTCCTGATTTGGATTGGAATTGATGAATGCATTCCAGAATGTCCCCAACCCTGGTTTGCAAATACGTGAAGCCCTAGAGACAGAACTTTCTGAAATAATTGTAAAACAAAAGGATTACTTTGTAATGATAATACATTTTGTAATGTAATATATATGGTTAGCGGTATAATGAGTTCAAAACATTTTCTGCATTTTCTATTTTTCGATGCCTGTCATATCATTTCTATGTAAGAGAAAAAAATAGTTTAAGCAGTATATGGTCATAAACATCCAGGGAAAGAATCAGACATTGGTAGCCAACAGTGTTTGGTTATTCAGCATAAAATACAACCGGGGACAGTCAAACGTCTGGGATGCATCAGCACTTCCATGCAGCGACATTCTCGCCATGCCACCCGGAAGGCACTTGGAAAAAGAGAGATTCCTGGGAAAGCCAGCCGTGTTCCAGCAGCACAGGCAGGAGCAGACGGCACAGCCACGCCCGGGGTGAGCGGTGAGAGGGATTCTGCGGCCTGGTGTTATCGTAACGTGCTCATGCAAAAAAAAAATAATTAAAAAAACCAGGTGTTGCAGGCGATAGTCCCTGTCTTAGGGTGCCGCATTCGGGGATTACAGGTTCAGAGACACAAAAAAATCTTTATTTACCATGAGATTCAGCTGGGACCTTCAGCCCTGTAGTCACATTGTAATGATACATAATTGGGGGAAATGGATTAATGAGTTTCTAAGACTGGGTTATGGAAGACTTTAGCTAATTATCAATTAACAACAAGAAGATAATTTTCAATTCATACAGTGGTATGAATTAATACTCTTTAATATCTTTCTCATAAAAGTAATGCATCTACTACTTTAAAAACTATAAAGATTTCCATAATATTGAGAAATGAGAGAAAAACAAAAAGTGCAATTTCTTTGCTGGTAGGAACCTGAAATAAAAATGTGTTTCTGTATGTTGGTTATGGGTCCATGCCATCTACTGAGGGTCTGTCAGAGCTTCGTAGTGCGGGGTAATTGGCAACCCATCCTTACCTGCTCCTTGCTTGAGAAGATCGTTAGCCGCATTTGTGGGTGTGGCCAAGTCTGGAGTATCCTCATTAAGATCTAGAAGCAACCAGAAAGAGGTCTGAATGCACTGCTGGAGGTCTTCACAGACATTAGTGTCCTTGGGATGTGTCTGGGTGTTCTTGGCTCGCCCAACAGTACAGTGGCACATCACAGCGCTTTGAAAACCCTTTAGAACTTAGGTTACAACCCAAGAAATATCTAGCTGCATATTTTCTCAGTGAAATTATGAGTTGAGGGACTTGTGTGTACCTTACCTGTGGTTGGGATGAGCAGTGTGCAGGGGAGAGCCAGCGGGGTGATGAAATGCTGGTAAACCAACGCTGACAGACACCCTACAGTTCAACACACACAGGAACAATGAGAGAACATCAGTACTTCAGAGGTATATCATTATCTTTATTGACCACTGGCCATTGAGGCAACATTAGAAAATTCCATCGGAGCCACCGGGAAAAGACATTGTGAGCCTCCCGTTCTGTCTGGCGCTATGAAAAGCCCAGACTCACATGTTTAAACTGCTCTAGTGATAGCACTCAACTCCAAAGCAAATGTAAAACAGACCTTAGCAGCATTGGCTTAGCATCCAATGCTTTCATGCTACACGTTCCTGTTTGCTAGAGCTTTATAACATTAGCCAGAAGAGTAACTTTACGCCACTATATATGGACAAGAGTGCGTAGCATAAACAGCCAAAAGAGGCTGTCTCTTGGTTTGGACAGAATGCTTCTCTGGGATCTGGTTTTGATGGAACGTGCCTGTAAATCTTAACGTGTAACTGTCTGACCGTGTTTGGGGGGCTGTGGGATAAACAGACAGGGAGGGAAGGATGCCACCTCCTACAGCCAATAGCGGCTCGGAGCCCCGCGCCAATTATCGAAAGCAAAGGCCGATTTTTTAACTGCTGTCAATGCTTGTTTAGATCCATGCAATGTGTGTTCTGGCATACAGACAGCCCTGAGTGCAAAACTTGGCAGAATATAGCTTACGATATGCAATTTCTTTTGAATATAGAGACAATTCTCAAGGGTTTTGAGGAAGAGCAGAAACTTTTCTATTTAATCCCAACAGATGCCTGAGGGAGATGTCAACCAACTGATTATTTGAACTCTCCGGCTTCTTTAACAAAGATGTGTGGTCAACAATTTCCATATCAGGATGTTCTGTAGCATATTTTATAAGCTGATGTCACAGGTTTTGTTTACTATATATATTGTATACAGGAGATGGTAAAAGTCAGCTTTGTCGATTGAATTGCCAAGACCTCCAAGTAATGTGGTGATGTGGTGAGCACATCGAATTAGAGGAAGGACGTTGGAGAAACACAGGCTTCAGAAGTCCCCGTGCAGTATTTAGCGAACTCCGAGTTTCTTCAAGACCAGCACGGCAGACAAATACGGTCATATGACTGAGAGCGTGAACAAATCTGTTGTATTATGAACAGCTGTTCGCAAACAGAATAGGTGTAGTGGCGTGTGGGGAGTGGCGTAGCAATGTGGCCCGTGGGCAGGGACATGCGGCACGGACTCGCTCACCAAAGTAGGGCTCATTAGGACACCCTTTAAGTTTCACTCCCTTGGGGCTCGTCTCGATCAGGAAGTGCCGCACCAGCTCGTTGGTGTTGTCACCAGCTACAAGGAAGCAGAAAATCACAGAGAGAAATTAAAAATCGCAGCAAATTACAACACGCTTTTAGCAACTCCGATATGAAAGACTAGACATGCATGCAACAATATAGAATAAGTGGCAAACGAATCTTCACCCTGGATAAAGGCAATTGATGTTTTAATCAAAAAAACCTACGTTATAAGAGCATCTGAAACTTTGTACTGATTACCAACCCTCCCCCCGCCACAACCACCTCCCACAAACGCACACAGAAGTGTTACTTTGAATTTGTCGGTACAAGCACTGTGCCTCTGTAGAAAAGTCGCCGCTGGATGTTTTGTGCGGGTGGCCTCTAAATGACTTTAATTTACCTGAATTTTAATCCAGATGCTGTAAAGCCTTTACCGCATTTTCCAAATTCAGTCAAGCCATTGTACATGCCAGTCCTAGCCTGGGGAAAGTTCAGTGCACATACACTTTGGCAGTCTGATTGAATTTTCCTAAACAAACGTTCCAATAGACAAGCCAAAGTGGAAAACTGCACTGACTATGGAGGACTGTTTGGCGTTACAGGGCTTTTTGCTGTGGAAATATACCGGACCTGTTGTTCTGAATATGTCAAATGGCAATTTCTGTGGGACCAGTAACAAGCAAGACTCACTGAATAAGTAACAAGACGACAGCAAAATGCCAGGGCGCAGTTCCAGAAACTTCCAAACCGCCTCCACCCTAGCCAAAGCCAGCGGGGAAGAACCCGGGCTTTGTTTTGCAGCACATGTAAGGGATAAGACAAGGGGCGGAGCCAAAGGGGCACTGGCCTCAGCTCAAAGCTGATTGGGCCGCAGAGTCCTCCACCCCTTGTCACTCACCAACTCAAGATACATCGTTGTCTAACGGTAAGGCTCTGTATGAATCACTCCCCCCTGTACCTTTCTTACACTGCTGGACGGAAGGTGGGGGTGAGGCCACCTTCAAAGCCAGGCCATAGGCGCCCCGGAAAGAGTGACTGTCCCGGATGATGAATGCCCCGGGCTCCCGGTCCTTCAGCAGGTTGATGGCTTTGAGGGCGACGAAGATGAACATCAGAATGAGAATCAGAAAGATATTTATTAAACATACCAAGAATCTTGGTTGGTTATACCCTGGTATGAAATATAACACGCAAGACAATTTCAGGACAATTTCCAAGTATGCACACAATAAATTTCACAAGTTATTTTTATACTAGACCAGTGGTTGCTGACACGTCAATCGCAAGCCGCTAGTAGCCCATAGGGATCAAATGAGTAGCCTGTGTAAGACTTCAGATAAAAAAACAAATCGGATAAAATTTTTGTATCTTTTTGTCTTGGACAACGGGGCACCGCACTGTAACAGCATGCGGCAGAGGGGGTGTGAAAGGAGAATTAACAGTCGACAACTTTGTCTGTCACCACTTCCCCCCCCTGCCACCAGGTCAGCAGAGTATTTTATTTGTAGCTCTCACAGTAATTAAGGTTGGAGACCCTGACAGTTAGAAGCAGCAAGGGATGACAGAGGGCGAGATAAATGAATAAATTGTGAACATAAGCAAACGGGATGATGCTAAGAAGAGATATAGGATCACGCAGTGAACTCTCGGCCTGTGTGCAGTGGGATGTCTCTAATCACAACTCACCATTGTCAGTGAGCGAAGGCAACATAGCAGAAAACATATGGCATGGTCACGACAAGTGTGTTTGGAAAGGAAGACCGTATCTTACATTTATGTGGGGCGTTACACACATTTGCGTGGAGAATTTACATGGAAACGTGTCCCAGCCAGAGCTGTAACTAGCATCAAACGGCACATGGTGTGATGTATGATGTCACGAGCGACATGTGCTAATGTTTACTGATATCTACATTTAAGATCATCTCATTCAATGAATGTTATAAACTGAAACAGATGACTGAAGTTTCAAACTGACAAATAGTGCCTGGAACATGCTCGGTGTATAGATGCCTTTTTTTTAATCATTAACCTCCAACAAACCCATGAAAATGACCATAAACTATACATTATAGTGAGTGGCTCTTACCTTGCTCCCGGGAAATGTCTGGCTTGTACCAGAACTTGGAGGTGTCCTGAACAAACTTCACGTTGAGCTTCATTTCTGGGCTTCCATCTGCCAAGAGTTGGAAATAAATCACGCTTTTTTAAAGAGTCCTCTGAGACTGGCTTCAGGGCTTGGGGGATTAGCTGATTAAGGAAGAATGGACCGTGCATATCCTCGCATGCCCTTCTCAGTCCTGGCCACGGCTGCATGGGAACCACGCTCCTTATCGGGGCCTAAAGAACTACCTGTGAAAAGCCTCTGAGATACTGCATTCCCCCATTGGGTAATCTGGAAATTCTCTGGTTAACTATTAAACTGGGCCAATCTGACATGGGTCTAACAATGCTCAGTGATACATTATAGGCATTTACATTTTATTTATTAGCAAACATCTTTAGCCAAATCAACATACATTTCAAGAAAGCATGGTCACTCTGTTGGGGTGTTGTAGTTAAGGACCACCATTCTGCTGACCGTGGGATTTGAACCAATGACCTTCCAATCACAGGCACATTGATCCACACACTGCCACAATAATTGAGGCGGGGCTGGGGGGGGGGTGGTGAAGACCCCCTATAACAGCCCTAGCGATACCCCCGCAGTTACCTTGTTGATTTTGTTCATAATAATGAAGGAATAATATTACACCGCATTTACAGGCTTGGGTTGGGAACAGGTGAGTGCTGGTGGTCATGCCTACCATGCATGGAGTACTTGGAAAAGTCCGGTAGAGTGTGTGAGAAGCTGGTGTTGGGCGTGCTGCCAGCGCTGGACACCGGGGAGGACGTCTTCCCGTTGAGCGTGCCATAGGAAAGGATGCCATTGGGCCTCTCCCCAGCTGCTACATGCTGTTTCTCCGGGAGCTGAGGCTGAGGCAGGGGGCTGCCCTGCTTCAGGCCTGCCCCCTCCTGGTAGCCCCCAGAAGAGACCGGGAAAGAAGGCGTGGATGGAGGGTGGGGCCCCGAGGAGCTGCTCTGACGGGACAGCGTGCCATGTCTCCCGTCCGGTGTGGTGTAGCCGCTGTGCGTCGGGTGTCGGTCGAAGCTCGGGCTGCCCGGTGCCGCCTGGGTGACAGAGGCGTGGCGGCCTAGCACAGGACTGCCTCCAGGCTCACCGCCATTGGGCATTGCCGCGCGCCTGCCCAAGGCCGGGCTGCCCTGATTGGCCATTCGGCGCTGCAGGGCGGGGCTGGGTGGCGTGTTGGTGGCCACCGTGCGGTGCAGGGTGTTGGGGCTCCCGGGAACCGTGTGGACGCCCATGATGCTCACTTGGGCACCTTCTGGTTGGTATGAATTATAATCAGGACCCATATAGGGGGAGCTCACACTGCCTGAACCCATATGTGACGAGGTGGGGGTGCGGTATGTGCTTTCGGGGGCCTGGGAACGGAGGTCCCCTGCAGAGTGAGTGAGGGATCCCATCCGGAAATTGCCGTCAGCCAGAGGGAAGCTTCTGACATATGGACAAAGAAATCAATGTCATAAAATCACAGCAATACATCATAAACTAACAAACACCTCTGCATCCATTGAGTCAATTTCTAAAGAGCCAATCTAACTGTTATTTGAGTCATGAGACAGGAACAGGCTACATGTTCCCAAAGCAAATCAGAAGACTAAAGGTGAATCAGTGTCAAATGCTAAAAGATAAACAAACCAATTTAACTGTGCTTTAAATTTCAAAGGGAGGGGATTTCATGCTGTCTTATTCAGTTATTCCTTTTATGTCTGCCTGTTGATGAGAGTATAAGGCTGGTATGTATTTTCAAATGGAAAGAACAGCCAACTCTCGTTCCAGACAACAGACTCTCTCTCTCTAGGATGCAGAAGGGTGGGGTGGGGGTTAAATTCCCCATCTTCTGCTCCTGGGACATGCTTAAGTTTTGACCTGACATGTAAAACACGCCCGGTATAATCGGTCTGCACTGTAACTGCTGGAAATATACCGTGTAATTGGCAGTCATTTTGTAAAATAAAGAAGCAGTGTATGGATAATATCCCACAGAATTGTGGTATATTGAGACCTCTTGTGATGTTGTAGCAAAATTAATCAACTTAATTACGTGCATTCGGCACTGATCATTATGATTATTTTGGCCATGGCAGTCAGGGGAGTTAATTGCTATTGAAAAGATCCGGGGCTAAGTCAAGTTTACCTGAGCCTTGACTTTTTAAAACCTTTTTTTGATGGAAGATTTGCATCGGGGCTAAAATACTCGGGGCTATAACCCTGAGCGATGGGACCTAATGACGCCCATGTTGGCAGTCAAAAAAATTAAATAATAAAATCCCAGGTTACATTGCAGGAGGAGCTTACCCCTCAGTGCTGTGAATGGGGCTGCTTGAGGACAGCGGGGCATTGTAGGGGTGCTGGGGGGCCATTTGCCTGGAGATGCTATCTTCGGAATATCCAGGTGGTATGGGGGACCCCATCTGCTCCCCTACTCCCCCTCCAGGAACCGCAGTGCGGGCCACGGATTCCACGTAGCTACGAGGTTCTGGAAAGCACCCGAGAGGAGGCCGTCAAAAGAGCGGGAGGCGCTCGTCGCTTCATAGAACAGCAGGAGATAGCTGAGCTCCTCAGCTGCAACATGAGTGAAGACAGGATGGCAGGACGCAACACACATGCAGATGAGATGAGGACTCTCTCCAGTCAGAACATTCCAGCAAACACCAAATAAAAAATAAATGTGCATTTAAACAATGTATTATATTCTTATTATTTGTGGTTAGGAATGATTACCACATGTCAGTTTGCTAAGGAGAGTACAGGAACTTAATAGTTAATATAAGGAACCTTGACTGTACTCTACAAACAAAAATCAAAGCTGATGTGGTACTTCTCAACAATGTTTCGCTGCTTAGTAACCTTACCACTGGCCAACATTAACATTCTCTAAAACAGAATGTTTGCCCCCCCCCCCCCCACACCGCCGAGTCCCAGCACCAGGTTGCTCAGAAGATGGTGCCCCAGAGGGCTGCCGATGTCACCTGAGTTGCATGACTAGCACTGGTTGCTTATGAACCAAAACATCTATGTACCCCTGAGCACCACACCGGCATGATCTACAAAATCCAGAAGGAGTTCACACTCATTGCTATGGTCATGTTTACATTCGCCTTTGACACGTCTGACAAAATTCACATGAGACGTGTTTCCATAAAGTATCCCAATACCGCTACGTCGTTCCTCATTCTGTTTCATATTTTAAAGCACAGCATATCCCCTGAGTTGAATATTCTTACCCCAACTCGTAAAAATTAATTGGATCCGAGTGGTAATGCAGAAATTACTGCTCAGCTGGCTGAGACAGTATATGACCTGCGATCTGTAAACATTATCGAGCCCCAGATACAGAGAAAGATGTCCCCAAAGAGCTGTTTTACAGGGCTCTAATCTCACAGACGGCGAGAGCATGGAGGCCTACACACTAGCTAGCCTTTTAGGGGGTTCCTACAGCTGCTCGTAGACGAGACACGGTCTCCTTTTACTGGACAGATGAGCCGGAAGGGTCTTTTCTACCCAGACACCTGAGTCATCAAGAAAAAAGGGGGGAGATGTGTCGTTTTGTTGGACATTAAACGGGGCACCAGAGGATTATGGCCGTGAGATGTGACATGAGGTAGTGTTCAGTACAGACGATGGACGGGGGAGAAGTGAGCTGGGTTGAGGAGGACACTGCAAAGCTGCTCTGCAGGAGAGCTCGGGACACATCTGTTAAAGTGCTTGTGAAGTTGGGAGAGGATGAATGCAATGGACAGCATCCGTGGAGATGCTCTTACCTTCTTCACCGTCACCTACAGGGCTAGGTTCTGAGTCTGATGTGGAGGGAGGGGGGGTAGACGGTAAGGCAGGAAGGGTGACAGAGAGAGGGAGCAGAGAAAGAGAAACAGATGAAAGAGAAACCAAGCGAAGGGCACTGGAGGAGGAGAGGAGGAAGGGCGACTAAAAGACAACAGGTCTGCTCCACAACAGAGTCTCGTATCGACTTTGGCCAACGAGGCTTGACTCTGATAAGGAAACCTTAGCAAAACCGCAGATGCAAACCAGCTGTAGTGAGAGCAGCTGTAGCAATGGCAGCTGTAGCTGGCTGATAACACACCGTTTTACAACCCTAAAGGCCAGGCGGCGGAAGACGTCTTTCGTATTACAGCTCGAAAGATATTTACTGTTAGCTCATGTCTGCTGTTTGGCATTCAGGCCCAGATACCGGAGAATGCGGAGCTCTGAATGATAGCAGGCCATAAATTAAACTGACGGCCGCCTGCCACGTCAACAAAATAAACCCCAAACAATTGCAATACAAAATGTGACACTCAGGCTGTAAGCAGTTACTAGCTTTCTGTACTATTACAGAGGGGGAAAATGGCAATAAAACTGAAATAAATGAGAGGGGTGGCGTGTCCTGATCTTGACGGCATATGCTGCCTGTTGGCCTCTGTGACACGTAAGCATCTCCTCAGAAGACGAGCCGGAGAACTGACCTGATCCACTCTGGTGCAGCAGGATATCGGCTGGATTGTGGGGCTTCAGGCCCAGGGCGGACAGTGGGGTCTTAGCCAGACCTGGGGGGGAACGACCTGGTGGGTGGGGGGAGAAAGAGAAGACAGGGTCCATCATCCAGCACAAAATCAGCAGCTCTCGCCTTTACAGCGCATAGCTGTGTGTGTCCTCAAGGCATCCCACTGAGATGTGAGCAGGGAACAGGAACATTCGCTTCATGTTCCACCTAAGGAACAGAGCGGTGATGTCACAGGACACAGCACAGGAATGCTCAGCTGTTAAAAGCGGCCAGAGAGGGGCGTGTGGTACAGTGAGTGATCAGCAGAGCCTGGACACACACCACAGACACAAGACACAAGGCAGCAGCACACATTCTGTACCTTGATCATGCAGGTGCTGTTTTTAGCAAATGACGTGAAATACTGTCCCTATAGGCTGACTAGCAAGGGGACAGTGAGCATCTGCACGGGTCACGTGACACTCCCCCTCTGACTGCTACCCGGAAGGATAGCAGAGATGTAGGTGTCATGGTCACGTGACCAAAATAGAAGCCATGGTGACAAGTTTATATATGGAAAAAAGATATGGGAAAGCAGCCCACATTCAGAGCCGTGGGGTCACCCAAAAATCACAAATGAACAGGGCGATACTGAGTATGGGCGAAGTGATGAAGCCAAAAAGGACCTACATGCCATAAGTTAGTCGACTTTCCATCTGCATGCCAGAAGGAGGTGGGGGGGGGGGGGCACAGGTGGGTTAGGACGGGTGGTCACAGGAACACAGTGCGGTAGTGGCATGCTTCCTCCACTTACCAAAGAATCCAAATCAATTCTTTGTTATGCAGCCTAAATGCCTTGTGAAACGTGGCGGGGGGTGTTTAGCATTTAGGGGCTGCACTACAAGCTCCCACAGTTCGCTGCAGGAGGAGGGAGCTGTGATGATGTAACTCTGATGGCAACATGCCTGCTATACGCCTCCGAGGATGGAACCCTCAGGCTTCCCAGCAGACAGCAGGTGGGAAACGCACCTGGGCGTATAGCGTTACCGCGGCAACAAAAAGCGCGGGCCCTGCGACCTGTAATCCACCCTGTCTGCACTCTCGGATTAATCGTATTCCTTACATGGGGTCGGAGCAAACAAAGTGCCGAGTGCTTCTTATTGGTTCACATCCTGGCACAAAATTCGATTTTAAGCGGAATCACATGGTAACGGTTTTACATTATTAAAACAAAATTTGTATTCTGATTTTTTTATAAATGAACTATTTATAATACTGCAATTCTATGCAGGTAATCCCCTTAATTCTGCTATTGTGCTAAGAGCACTTTTTTCATATTTTGTTTGTTTAGTCTTTATTAAGAACCAAAAATAGCCATTGCGTCATTAATAATAATGGTAACGCAGTAGCTTAAATGGAATAAATAACATTAGATGCATCATACATTAATTTAATGTGCCTGGAACCCATCTGCACGTCTCTGTGTATAAATCTAGAGCCATTTTAACAAGCGGTCCCTCGTAAGGGGAGCTATTCTGTTTCAGGCCAAAATAAAACTTATGACTGCACCTCCTGGGTACGTGTCCATCTCCAGGGCTCTAAGACCGGGGGCACTTCAGTGTCGTTAGGGGGTAATAGACTTTTACAAGGCACTTTATATTAGTGCTGGGAAGCAGATGGGAGGTGGAGGGGGGTAAGTAGGTAACCTCATATACAGGTAATAGCCAGTAGGAACCACAGAACTAAAGTCTAGCTTCCCTGTAGCTACAGAAATATCGAGTGTGGACGTGCTGGGGGGGGGGGCATCTCGCTGATTTACGAGGTCGGCAGCTGCCGAGTTAACGTTCCTCAAATAACGAAAGGTTAACGATGTGGATACAGGGAGGCTATCAAGTGGGGGGCATGTAAACCAAGGAATGCCCGACCCCCGTGACAATGGGCGGGGTGGGGGAATAGTGTTATGGTGTTAAAGTCCCCCTGTCCAACCGCAATGCCACTGCGTCTCACTGCGTCCAAATCACATCACTGTGGTTCTGACACTGAGCCTCGCAAACAGCAGTCGCTATCATCGGACGGCAGGTAAAGTGGGGACCTTCACCCTAACACTCCCTATTCAAACTCTGCCTTCGGCTTGATCTATCAGACATGTTCTCACTATGACTTTTCCTCCAGGAGTCCCAGCAGATAAAGCCAAGAGATGTGATCAAAGAAGCAGAGGAAAAACCCATCACCGATACAGTTAGCCCAAAACAAATAAGCACCGCAAAGCGTAAACACAACAACAAACGCATAAAACAGCATTCATGGCTATATCCACCTGTGTAAATTAATACACAGATTAGAGGTGTTTATCTGATATAAAGCGCAAACTTTTCATCACTTAATCCCAGTTTGTTCATTTTTGTTTAAGCGGCAGAAATATAACACACATGTTAAATCAGCATCAAATGACTTACTCAGATGATTCAGGACTTACTAAGTCACAGAATTAATGAGAAAAACAGCGGATTTTAAGAGCGATTCCTTTGTGGGGATTTTTCCAATCATCTTTAAAAGTCTAGTTACATATGCCTACAAGACTAACAGCTCCACAGCGCCCTCCCCCCTGCAGGAAGAGTGAACTTACACAGGTTGAAGTAAGGGGTTTGTGGTGAGACGGGGAAGGCAGGGGTTTGGGGAGGAGCCTCACCACCGATGCTGCTGTTGGGACTGACTGGAGACTCCGCCTCCTCGAAAGCCTCCCTGTAACTGTGCATCTGTCCCTGGAGAGGGAGGGGACACAAAGAACACGCCCACACGTGCACAAAAACACGCAGGCACAAAACACATTTAAAAAACACAGCAATGAAGAGTGGAAAAGGCCAGGAACCGTGAAGCAGTGCCCCCCCTTACCTCCTTGGGCCGCCCCCCAGGGTTGAGGGCGATGGTGTTGGCAAACTCAGGTGACACACATCGCACAGGTGAGCGCATCGTACTGCTCTCCACCGGCGCCCCACTCTGGCCATTCTGGTACTGTCCCTCGCTGGTGGTTCGGCGCCGTATGGGGCCCGGCGCCTCGTCCGCCGCCGGCCCATGGGTACGAACCCCTGCCAAACCGAGAGGGGGCACAGTCAGGAGACAGCGTTCTTCAGCAGGGCATAACATCTAGCAGCAACATCAGCACCACCCATGAATTCGACGGAAACAGGGGCGTATACGGAGCGGGGCCACTAGGGGGACTGGACTCAACTTAAAGCTGATTGGCTACTGGAGTGCCCCCCTCCACCTGTCACTAACTAATTCAAAGCATATCATTGGCTAATAATAAGGTTGGCCTCTCTGCATAAATTATGACTCCTCTTAACCCTGCCACCTTAAAAAATCCTAGAATTACCCTTGGAAAGAAAGTCTTGCCCAGACCATAATCAAACATGTCCAATTTATGTTATGTTAATATGTCTCAATATTTATATTCTATTTATTACTTTTTCATTCGCACTGTAACCAGTGGAACATTTCACCTCCATGCATGTGAACAAGCAGGTATTCTGCAGGTATTCTGTGAGTATCAGAGGGACCAGACAGGCTGGCTACCCAACCACTTAAACTCTTCTACTGAATAATGGTTAAACTGGAAGTTTGAGCTGAAATGCTTCAAATACAAGTGTCTGCTAAACAGCTCTCATAATGATTATACTTAGTCAGCGAAGGCTGTCTGTGCTCACATAAACAGACAAGGGGAAAAAACCCAGAATATCCAGCGCACATAAACATCTGCGTTTACACACACCCCCCTCACCCACAGCCAGGTCCCGGGGCGTGGGGAAAACGGGCGATGGGTACCAAGGAATATTCGTGAAACCTCCTGCCTTTGGCACGGACGTGTTCAACAGCGTGTGGACGCTGCCAAATTCCCGGCGGGTCGGGCAGGAGCGTCCTCATGAGGCCCCAGACTAAGATGGAGGAGAGCAACAAGGAGGAATTTCCCGTCGGAAAGCCCCCTTAGGCATAACGCTACCCTCTGGACAGAAACACACGCATGCGTTTTGTGAAACCTCGTCGATGGAGAAGTGGAACTGAAAATCTTTCATGGGAATCACATGCCACTCGCTCGCATTCTCGACCTTCTTCTGATCACATCTCTATAAGAATGATGAGACGCTGGGTTTTTCTGATTTCTGTTGAAACCACATCTCCCAGTGTCAAACGGTTTGCCCCCCCCCCCCCCAAATCCGCTGCACTGGGGCCATGAAACACGCTAGCCAGATGTGCAGAGACCGTGCCGATTTACAGCTGTGGATGTCAACACAAGGCTCGTTACCTTGGTGACCGGGCAGTTATAATAGACTCCATCTGGGGCAGCAGGGAATCCCAACACTGAAATCTGCCCCTCTCCTAACTCAATAGTCAAAGCAAAAATATAGAATCACATAACAAAACACATAAATAGACAGACAGACAGACAGGCAGGCAGACAGACAGGGCAAAGAGGCCACATGAAATTCCTTTCCCTGTCATTTCGGAATTCTTTACTAAAAGTGTCCGACTTGAGGTTCAGTATCCCACAATTCCCCTCCTTCAGGGGAATCCATCTGGTGGCATTACGAACTCCCTTGCGTGGGAATTTTCATCACTGACTCAAGGATACTGCATACTTTTTCAGGAGAACCAAAAAAAAATTAATGCTTTTTGCAAAACTGAACCAGAACATCGAAGCTCAGCTAATCACGCTTATAAAAGACACCACGACGCTGTACACAATATTACAGGCCAACCAGGTCCATTAGGCCATGTAAACAGCTCAGAAAATAGTCTGAAAGAGCACAGTGTCCGCATACCTGGGGACAACCCAGCGGCAGTGCACGCATAGTCCTGTGCTCTGCACAAAGCAGCCCCACACAGAAAGCCCTTTGTCTTTCTCTTTCGAAGCAGTTCATTTCGAGAATGGACATTCAGAAAGAATCGTTTGTCCTCTCGATGCTGAAACAAGGCAGCATTTTTGGGATTGTGCAGAGAAGCAGCGCAGGCAGCACCCAGGTCCACACAAACCTAGCGAGAGCTGAGATTCTCCAAAGCCGTCTGACACACAGCAGCAACGAGAGCCTGCGATTCGCTCTATTTTTCCGGATAACCTTCTTTATCATTTCCTAAAAGGGCTCCTCTAAAGTTATCATCGTCCCTCTCGCCCCCCAAGGCCCAGACCTCGTTACATTGCCCCAAACTCCACGTCTTTTTTGCGCCCTTGTGAAACTCACCAGTGCTAAAGCCAAAACGGCCATCTTTTGTATAAATTCTGTGCCTCTGTTTGTTAAACTGCCAAACCCATGTCACATGAATCCGTTCGCCATGCCGAAGAAAATAAAACCCCACGGTATCTAAGAAAGGCACACTTCAAACATGAATACTCCCTTGCAAAATGTGTACAAATTTACCAATTACGCTTGTTACTCATTGATAGCTTAATTTAGTAGCACTGATAATCACAGAGTAACTGGACATTGACGTCCACCCAGTTTTACACCGACTAGCCACAGTGACAGAGGAGAGATGCATGAGGTTTGTGTACGACTCAGAACATGGCGAGTTTGAAGGGAGGTGCAGGGGAGGAGGGAGGAGGAAGGAGAGGAATGCAGGACAGAACAAACCAGAGAAGGAATGGGAGCGATGACGGACGGACTGCAGGGCGGCCACGCTCTCATTGATGCCCTGCAGGCGTGCGTTGTACTCTGCGGTGGGGGGTGAGCGAGACGCAAGGGAGGGACGCGCAGTGGTGAGGGATGGGGGGGGGCCGTGGGAGTCAGGAGGAGGAGAAGAAAGCGTTGGATGAGAGAGGAGGTGGATGGGGCGATCCGGAGAGGAAGACGGACAGAACAAGACAGAAACAGAAAAGGAGAAAAAATACAGTTACTCTGTGTTAAATTAACAGAGATGAGTGACTATTCTGCTAATCAGTGCTGAACTGTCACAGTTTCACAGAGAAGGAACTATAAAATGAGGAATATATGTTACAAAACCAATTAGTGGATGTCTTCTCTGAGAGGATGCAACCTGCTTCAGACATGTCTGCTCTCCATCAGAAACCACGAGGGAAGATACCAAGCAAACAAAGAGCTAGATCTGCCCCCACTAATACTCACCTGAGCTGTTCACTTGTTCTAACAGTCAATTATGTCAAGAGCTAACTATGACAAAGTGGGGATTGGGAGAAAGACCAGAGCTGTTTGTCTCTCAGCCTATAGTTCTGGCTAGATGTCTATGGTCAAGCACTGCCCCGGTCCGTCCGACTTGGAGTCAATGGATAGTCTTAACAGAAAGTCATTCTCTGCAAAACAGAAAAAAAATGTCCCAGGGGCTCTGCCGCCGCTATTTCTGTCCACTACATTTGGCACCATAAAAATAGGAAAGTCATTCATTGGACTTAACTCTGACATAACAGTACCTAATGGGAATCAGTCTGTCAATACCCAGCTTCTCCACTAGGTGACGCCAGTGTGCCCAGTTCTACAAAGTAGCCTTCTCTGTATCTCATTAGCGTCTGGAATGCGTAGCTACTCTCCCCCTCCTCCGCTACATTTTCACTTTGACACAGTTATTTTCTTTCTTCTTGAAGGGGACAACTCGCATTGTGCTTTTGAGCTGCGAGCGACTAACTGTGACGGCAGGTGGAAGTTGGTTTCAGTGAGGAGTCCCGAAAGGGGCAGACTGCGTCAACGGGCATGGCCACCACTGGATTGGGAGGGCCAGGATACAGCGCCCTGTGGAACAATGCCTTTATTGTATCCACAGCAATTCTGCCTCTTCGCCAGCCAAGCGATGCAGAATACAGCACATTATGCCATAAAATTCCACATCTGCCTATAAATGTACCAGAAACCAGGAAATGCTGACCTCTCCTCTCTGGGAAAGCATAATTTAAGACAAATCTGAAGGCTTTGTGTGTGGTATCCTTCACTAGAATCCCGGGTTTCCATAAAGGGCTTTTCGAAGGTATGAATCCAAGTTACAAATCCTCAATGCATTTTACCGAAAGCAGTTAACCGCAACATGGGTCCGTTAATTCGCTTCGGTTAAAGGAAACCTGGGCAAGTGCAGACTGCCAGAGAAGCAGGGTTATTCCACTTTCTACAGCTTACATCGACTGCGGCAACCATCTCAGAGATAATTATGGCGCTTAGCGTTTGGCTTTTCAGCCTTTTGGAAAAATGTTACATTATGGCTTTGATTCTCTTTGACTGTAATCTAATCTGAAATATAAGAAACAGGCAGTTTGATCCTTAAAGGTGTGGAAAGATTTGTCACACAAAAATCTAAGAAAGAGCTAAAGATATAAAAATTAAGCAAAATTAGCAAAGGTAACTGATAGCAATTAATGGTGACGGCATAGAGGTTCAAGCTTACCGGCTATGCGGTGAGCCACCAAACCCTCCAAGTTGTACTTCTCCTCCTCGGCCTTGGCATCCTTTACAGGGGTGGGGTCGGTTATAGGGGATTGGGTGGTGTTGTGGTTCCGCTGGGACCCCAGGAAGATGGAGGGGTCCTGGAGCTCTGGGGAGTAGGATACAGTGCTGGCCGGGTAGGTGTTGAGGGGACGCAGCTGCAGCTGGCCAAAGCTGTTACTAGAAGGCTCAACAGTAGAGGCTGGGCTGACAGGGCTCGCCAGGTGGACCGGGGCGGTGGGCTTGGGCTGCCTGTAGCCAAGAGTGCCAGATGATTCCGTCGGGAAGGCCTGGCCGGGCTGATACATGGCGGTGGGCCTTGGTGGGTTGTAGATGGTTGGAGGTTGGGTAGGGCTGGCCTGCACTGGGGACATGCGGGGCTGCATGGTCGAGGGCTTCTGGAGCACCTGCCCGAAAGCAGAAGAAGGGCCAGAGGGGTAGCCGTGCAACACTGAGTCGGCCTGGTACGAGGGCCGGGGGATGGACAGCCCAAGAGTGGGCTGGACGGTGATCGGAGCGCTCTCTCCAGGAGCCAGTGGAGCGCTGTAGGACTTGGGCATCTGGGTCAGTGCTGGGTCCAGGTCCAGCATAAGCATGTTGAGGGCCTCAATGGACTGCTCGATCTCCTTCTGTGAGGCCACGTTGGGAAACTCGGGCAGGCTGTGAGTCTGCATGCCGGGGCTGAAGCGGGCTCCATCAGTCACCGGCTCCTCTGGCACACCGTACTGATGCCACACATTTAGGCCCCTCTGCACTGCTTCCCGGCTGCTGGTGCTGCGGGCGGGTGCCCGGGGCATCGCTTTCGGGGTCGGATCTGCTCCAGGGCTGGCACCGAAAGACTGAGAGCGATAGATGTTGCCGTTCTGGTTGCCGTAGCCGACGTGGGCCGGACCCACGTCTGCGATGCGCTCCTGCATCGAGGAAGAGCTTCGCATGGGGTGAATGGAAACCTGCGGCAATTTGTTTGAGAGGCTCCGGTCCAGGATAGAGCCGTCCTGCCCATTAATCACCATGTCCGGCTGGTAGTAGAGCTCGGCAGGGGTGGCTCTTCCCTCAAACGAGGAGAAAGTTCCCAGGCTATCCACACTATTGGCTTCCTGGCTGTTGGGCAAGTCGTCGTCAAGGATGTCTGTCTCCCTCTCCACGTTATTCTGCCCATTCACATGGACCTGGGCGGGTACCAGGTGCCGCACTCCTCCCCCAGCTCCGGGAGAAGCGGTCGCAGACAGGTACCCCTGGCGGTGGGCAGGGGGCTCAAGGCCACTCAGAAGCTGGTCCAGCCCCTTCTTCTCCTCGGGGCTCAGCGGCTGCGCAGAGGGCTGGCTCACCGGGGTTGCTTGCTGCACCGGCTCGTCTGTGCGGTCGGTTTTGATAGAGGCGGTTGAGTTTCCCGAGTCACTGCTCACCGAGAGGGCGTGGTCAACAGTGGGGAGGGTATGGTCCGGTGCAGGGAGGGTGTGATCAACAGGGGGGAGCCCGTTAGCTGTAACACCTCCCTCAAGGGACTCCTTTTTGCGGACCTTAGCGTAGAGGCTGCCGTCAAGGGGACCTTGCGTGTGAACAACGTCTGGGGAGGAGACACCAGATGGAGAAAGAATATTTCAGTAGATGAACATGGTTGAACAGTTTCAATGGCTCACATGTGCCAGTGCAGTAAGACCTCAGCTGTAACTTTCAGTACAACCCCGGACGTCTGGCTTGTAGACTCTTGTGATCTTTCGAATCTCAACAAATGAGACAATCGCACCCCCCACAACATAAAGCACAACTGGACCATGGAGGAGCCTCCTGGATGCTAAAAAGCAGAAACCCAGAGCAAAGCCCTGACCATCCTCCATGTCCTTGTACCACAGTGCATTGTGGGATGCACCAGGCCCTAACCAGCAAACACATAAACAACATTTGGGGTTGTGTTGTTTATTTTGTGTCATAAAATTATCTTCACGGAAGCTGATGAATTTTTTTATTCAACTGTGGAGTTCAGAGACAACTTAACAAACTTTATAACTTATTTATTTACTTTGGGATCTGGACGCAGTACATGGTTTCACATTGTAAGTACTCCCTGGTCAGAGCGGAGGAGCCACAAGCCGCACACAGCTACGTCATCACATTCTTGTTCAAAGAGCATTTCCCCCAAGCCCATTATGTGCTGTCTCTCTGACTGCTGCCTCTATTGCCCTCTCTGCTGACTCTGGCTCCGCTGACCGCCATCTCCCCTGTCCCCCCACCGCTACCCGCACTCCCAGCCCCACCTCCCACACTCATTTACAGCCCCATCAGGCAGCAAATCCTCTGGGCTTCAGCCCAGTCTGCAAAACCAATGGGATTGAACCAGGAAAAGGCTGCTGGTGTCCCAGCCAGCAGAGTGAGTCAGCCACGGAAAAGTGGCCACCGAAATAAACGTCTACGGCATTTCCTGCTTCCCTGGAATCGGAGCACAATATCTCACACTCGCACACACTCATGCACACACTCACACACATGCACAACCCACCATCTCCTCTCCAGAACCGGTCAGCTTGCCCGCAATGTTTACAGTTCCCCGGCCCCGACAATGGCTCTCATTGTTCTCCTGTCACAACAAAATAACAGTCATGGACCCCAGGCCCCCACGAATGCGGCCCTGTGTCCGCCTGGGGGCCCGACTGGCTCTGCTGTCACGTTGGTCCCGTCCGCCCTCCATGTGAGACACGCTTGGGCACCGCTTGGCCCCGTTTCCGCGGGAACAAACGCCCTTCACAGTGCTGGGTGAATGTAGACATTCGGGTCGCTCCCAAAGCCGCGGCCTCTAGCCGGGACAGGAAGTTCTGCACTCCCCCTGAAATGGAACAGAGCTGTAACTGTGCATTACCCAGTGTGGGCGGCTGCACTGACCAATCATATTCCCCCGCCTCAATGCACAGATAAGGCTGGTTCAGCCCCTCATCACCTGATTGGCTGACCCCTGCTACAGCCCCCTCCTCTCCCATGCAACTGTGACTGCCAGCAACATAAAACAGACTTAAGGATTTGAGCGCTTTTTTTTCCTCATGATTCTGTGAAGGCCCATCTCCACACTCTGAGTCCCCACCACCAGCATGCAGCAGGTGAAAATGCCTGTAGCACATAAGTGATTAAACAGACCAGGGCTTCAAAGAGACCAGAACGGGGAGGAAAGCAAAGAGAAGAAGAGGAGAGCACAACGATCCTAAGTTAAGTGCGAAGACAGCCGTCTGCTAGCTCGATGCAGCCTATTCTAAGCCAAGCCCTTTACACAACGGAGCCAAACAGACAGTAGCAATGGGCTCTCGGATCACTTTTCAAAGACTCTGCTGACAACTCTTCAGTGACTTTGTTTCCTGGCAGGCAGATCAGCCCCCCCCTTCTGACAGCTTCTCTCAGAAAAAAAGACCCCCCCCCCCCCTCCTGATTCCCCTCCCACCACCGGTTCTGCTTTGGCAGCAGTTGCCCCCTCCAGTGTCGTCTCCCAGGGCTCCGAGGTGCCAGAGCGCTCCAGAACTCACTTATTAAAGTCATCCCGCCCAGAGCAGCACTGATTCGCAGCCTGCGTGACAAAGAGGGACCCCTGTTGGGGTGGTGTGGGGGGGTTCCTAAGGACCCCAAGAGCGGGGAGGGCTTCCCCCAGCGCGGAACTCTAAGTCCGGTCACCTACGCTTCGTTCTTCGGTGTGCAAGGAATGTGCACATGACAGCACTAGGGACGTACAGTGGGGACGATCCCCTTACTCTGGGTTTTTTAAAAATCAACTGCTTACAGGCAGATATGATATGATACAGCAACAGATAATTAATGAAAGCACCTGCCCATAATATCACACACAGCATAAACAGCTACTGCAGACACAAACAGGCCACTCCTTCCAGGGCCATTACACATCAGCACAACTACATCCATAACAGAGAGAGTATGGCATGAAGCCTACCTGGTCCTCAAGCGGATTCGTAGTAATCCTTGGCGCCAGAAAGTTGGTGAGATTTTTTTCTAGAAAGTTCTTGCAAAAAGTGAGCAAGGAGAAGCGAGGAGGATGAGCAGGTTTGGCCTAGAGCCTCACAGGGATCAGGTTTGCCTGCCGAGGACGGAACTCCGCTCCGTTCACTGGGAGTCCCCTGCCCTCTGACTCATGTGTATCACCTCTCAGCTATGCGTCTGACAGTACTGACATCACTGGCAGCGGGGGCGTCCTCCTGCGTCCCCCCTCCATTCCCCGCCTCCCAGTACCCCCCACCCTCCCTCATCCTCACGCATATAAACACAAGGGTGGCGCCACTGGGAGGGGCAGGGAGGAGACAGGGCAGCCCCGGCTGGGTACGCAATGGAAAAACACGCCCAGCTGTGGGGAAATGATGCAGAGGCTGAGGGTTGGGGGACTGACAGACTGGGGGGGGCGGCTGTGGGACCGGGAGGACACGAAGAATTAGGAGATAGAGAGGTGTGTAAGGGGAATGAAGGTGCAGGGGAACGGCAAGGTATTGATGATCAGGAGAGAAGCCTTTATTCTAGCATTATTCTATCATGAACTACTAAATTAAGCTCTCCTAACACCAAGCTTAACACAAACGAGTAGTACACTGCAGACTTTCTGCCCACTCGGAAGACTGATGTCCAGATCAAAGTTTGCAGCCATTTTTTCCACTTGCTCTCACATTAACTTTCCATCCTGAAGACAACAAGCTATCTGTGGAGAATGCCCCCCCCCGCACCCCCCACACACATGGCGTAATTCACGCTCACAGCCTCGTCCCCCTCTGCCCCTTCGCTAGCCCCTTCCATCAGTATAAAGCCATGGTTACGGGGACAGTGTTGGGCTCAGACTGTTAGGACGCTGGTTCCCCCCAGGGTCGGCACAGTAGTTTCACCGTTGGACCCCAGATCAAGGCCCTTAACTGCCCCAGGAACTGGCTGACCCCTTCTGTCTCAAACGTACTTCTCTTTGGATGAAAACATTGACTAAATCAATAGAAAATGAACCAGAACCCAAAGTCATTTTCCCGGCTAACAGAGGACCAGGGGGAAGTACCATCTCAGCCTGAGGGGTGGGGGGGGGGGGGTTGCAGACACTTTTACATCGAGTTCCTTGAGTGTGATACAGGTGTAGTCCGGAGGTTAAATACCCTCTGAGCGTTTGATTAACCGGATAACCTCCGCTTAAACCCACATGATGGCTAATCTATTAACAGCCCCCCTGGGTGATCCCATGATTCAGGTGCTGTCCTGGTCTGATTTACCATCCGTGATGGATGGTAAATCAGATTTACGTAAAATGCGACACTCATACCTGCAGGCCAGGCTTGCAAGTGGCTGCAGCTTTAGCGGCTATGGTCTGGACCTCAGCCTGACCTTGTCCTCAGATCTCGTCAGAGGTGGTCTACCATCTCTTCCAAGACAAACGCCTTGACAAGGAGTCACCAGTGAGTGGCCAGACCAACCCGGTGACAGCACAGGCCACCTGCAGATATCTCTGTGGCATTTCGCGTTTATCGGACATCTCTGTCAGCCACAGAATGTTCTAGCTCCTCATCTTCCAGGGCAATGAGGAAACGGCTGGCCAGAAGTCAAAGAGGACCACAGTAAGAATGTTGTTTATTTAAGCGTTTTTGACCGTGCTTAGCTGGACAGAGCATGACATTACAGTGGCTACGAGGAAGAAAAAGATGCTGACAAAAAGGCCAAGGGTTCGATGCACTCTCCAAGTTCAACAGTTTGCATCTGCAATGCATCTGGAATGCGGAGAATCCTGATGACCTGACAAAATGAATGAGCTCACACAGTTAATGAGCAAATCGTCCCACTGCCCAAGAGAAAAGGTTTCATACGGACACAATGTCCTATTACAAATCTGGATTGAGATAACAACTCAGTGAATAAATATCTTTTTAAGTGTTGATTACACATATACTCGTGCTTGTTCTAATTTTAATATGAAAACAGCAGATGTCAACAGGATGACTTTCCCTGTTAATATTACAATATGATAACAGAGTTGTTTCTGTGCTTATTTCTACCTCATCACTATGGAAAATAGGCAGGCCCTTTAAACATCAAACATACGTATTTATGCTTGATTTTCCTTACAACCTCGGCCCCAACCTTTCACGTAACAGGCACCCACTGCATCTCTCCCTTAACATTTCAGCAATGCTGTACCCAGTGGAGAACAGAAATGGTATAGAAGCAGTATGGAGATTCCTAGTACTTGAATAGGAATAGAAACGCTGCCATACCTGACGAGGAACAGAAATGGCGCCATTCCCAAAAAGGAACAGAAAAGCCACTGGAACTGAAACACCGCCATACCCGACGGGGAACAGAAATGCCGCCATACTTGACAGGGAACGAAAATGCTGCCATTCCCAATGGGGAACAGAAACACTGCCATACTCAGTGGGGAACGGAAATGTTGCCATACCCAACAAGGAACGAAACCACTGCCATACCCAATGGGGAACAGAAACAGCAGCACACTTGATGGGAATGGAAAAGCTGCCACAATCAATGGGGAAAGGAAACTCTGCTGCACCTGATGAGGAACGGAAACTCCGCCATACCTGGCAAGGAATGGAATCC